ACACACACACACACACACACACACACACACACACACACACACACACACACACACACACACAGTTTAATAGGTTCACCTACTTGCTAATGCAAGCAGCCTGCTTCCACAAAAAGCAAACGTGGCTGCAACTGAATACATACAGCACACAGAAAGGGTCACGGGGTTCAGTTCCTGTGCGGTTAAGAAGCCTGATCCAAGCATTTTTGAACGTGCCGGTTCCAGCATCTCAGAAACAGCCAATTTACAGGGATTTCCATGCACTACAGTGTCTAGAGTTTACAGAAAATGGTGGGTCGAACAACACACCCAGTCTGTGGCATTTCTGTGGCCAAAAACACTTAAGAAAGAGGTCAGAGGGGAACAGCCGCAAGGGCAAAACTGACAGCTCAGTGTCATGCAGAAAGGCATTTCAGAAGGTATGGCTTGTCTGTCCTTGAAGCTGTTCTAGAGGCAGAAGTGGGTTGTACCAGGTAGCAGCTGCATCTATCGGTTAATCACCACCAAGAGTAAATATGTTATATTAAAAGCCCCCAAAAGTTATGAGGAATACTTAAAAAAGCAAGGAAAGCCTTCCGGGCTGCAGTGATGGCCGACGGCACAGCACTCGTCAGCAATTTACCGCACAAGGATCCTCTTGAGAAGCTGGTGATCTCCCTCTGTGTAGCCGGCCCAGTCCTTCTGCACCTCCTTAAACAGGCTGTCTTTGAGAGTAAACGTGTTGTCTTTCCCATTCAAATTCGCCACCTTGGGACAGGAGAAAGACAAAATAAATACCTCACAAGCACCAAAGCTAAGCCTGTAGCTTCACTGATCATCTGTGAGGCAGCCTTGAGGAGGGCACCGAGGTTAGGCTGCACATCTGTTTACATGTGCCAGCGACTCGTCTGGTTTTGTGCCCTCTTATCTTACGGGGAGAGGAGCAGACCTGTTGCAGGAAGCCGTCCAGGGTGTCCTTCTCCTGCGGGGACACGCCATCTTTCTGCAGCCGCAGGATCAGTTCCGGCTTCCTGTAGGGCTTGAGCGCCAGCAGGTGAATCAGACGTTCCCGCAGGGGCCTCTGTTGGGCGCTCGTCTTCTTCATGGTGCTGGAGATGATGACGGGCCGTGAGGAGCGGCGCGAGGGCGCGATGTCAGACAGGCCTGGGGCCGGCTTCCGGATCTGGACCTTCTTACCTGCAAGCAGACGGGCGCACAGGTAAGCACTGACACTCATCTACCTACATACACACACACACAAGGTGAACAGGACACATAGCAAGCGGTGCCAAAGGCAACACCATCGAACCATGGATCCGGAAAATACTCTTTACAAAACCCAGTCGCCTACCTGAAGGAGACCAGACCTTTAATCTTTTTCTTTATTTTTATTATTTTAACATAAGCATTAACTTGTCGTTTTTAATTGAAAGCCTGAAATCAATTCTCACAACAAACAAAAAGGAAACCCTAAACCAGAGCTTTGGTTCTTTGTGGGCTTGTCTGCATTTTCTTGGCATGTCTGGTTTAGTGGATTTCAGGTTCTCTGAAAAGCAGACTCCAACAGTTCACCTTAGCATGTGTCAAGCCACCCCCATACTATGCACAACAGTGCTTCCCAAACCAGTCCCCAGATGGACCACATCTTTGCTCTCTCCCAACTCCCAGGGAAATGGAAGAGAGCAAAAACAGGGACAGTCTGGGGGTGACTGAGGACCGGTTTGGGAAGCGCGAATGTGGCAGACACTACCTGTAGAAGCTGATTTTATGGCAGGCCTGTTATAACCTTTGTATTCGGAGAGTTCAGCCTGGGTTTTCAGGTCCCGTAAACTCCATGGGAGAGTCTGCGCAGTGTGTTTGCGATGTCAATCCGGGAAAAGACGTCCCAGACAGCTCCTCTGGGTAGGAGCCCCCAAGAACTGCAGTGCAAAGAGGGCACTCACTGGGCCTTCACTAACTTCACAACCAAACATTTAACTGGGTTAAGAATGTCCGACTTACGGACAACTCGTACTTTTGAACGGACTGCCATAAAGCCCATTATATTAACGATATCAGTCAAATAGCTGGTGCGTAATAATGAATGCACACGTTGCGACATTCGTATTGTATGTGATCGTCCTGTATTATAAATTAAAGTGCTGTGCCTCATTTTCAAGGGAATGATCAATGCCCCACTTTGGAAAATGTCTTCGATGTGGACCCGGGGGAGGGGGGACTTGTCCCTTATTTCTCCAAAGTGAAAGTGGTCCTACTTCTCAGTGGCGAATGAGCCAACATCATCAGGAATTGGCTGACCAGCCCATGTAATCACCTTTATTATTTTGGTAGTTATGTCTTTAGCTCTGGTGCTGCTAACATTTAATAACAATGGTTAGATACCGGCTGTCAGCATTGGCCAGGATTGAAATCAAAACCTACGTCTTGATTTTTAAGAAATATTGCTGACACCGATATGTTAAACGATGTCATGCACCTCTAGAAAAAAAGTGTTTACTTTTTGGTATTTGTTAAATGATTACTGCAGTAAGAGTATCAGGAATCAACAGTTTAGTTATTAGATTACAAAATTTTTTTTTTTTAAATCAAATCTATAGAAGAATAAATAGCTGTGCAGCCCTAATGATGAGTTGCTGTAATTTCGAAGGCAACTGTACCAGCACATTTTAATATAAAGTTATCAGTTAGGGGAATATTAATCATGTTTCTCACTGGGGGGAGGGGAGGGTTGAACATCTGTTGGGACAATTTTACCAAGTTCTTCAACAGGGACAGTAATTCGCCACGTGGTAACAGAAGTACAAAAACAAGCAGCTAGGCAGTGACATTTCTTGCATTACATGTAAGAAACTCTGTGGGAAGGCAAAGGAAGGTCCCCGGTGCAACAAGACAGCGAGGAAGCTTTTCCAGACATTTCCGTGACCTTTGCTTCTCTCCGGCCAACAAGAGATGCTGCTAAATCAGCCTTCAACAGCACAATGACACAACCCCAAACCTCCCCCATTCTACCAGTCACATGACTCCACATGGGGAGCCACAAGACTGCAATTAGCCCCGTCTGTCGATTGAGCAAATTACAGCAACACAAGGGTCACAGAGAGAGACCAGCGGGAGAAAATCAGCCAAGACACCATTAGAGCATTACAATACTCATTTCACCATTCCCAATTGGCCCTTTAAACAAGGCAGATGATATTAGCCTACAAATAATGTTAAAATTGAACAATGAAAGGTTTCAAAGCAAGACATCCTTCCCTCCTATAGCAAGAATAAGCCCAGATTGAGTGTCAGCTTCTCCTGACAGTTAGTTTTCCCCACATCCGGCTGAGCCTGATACAGGCTGGACATTCTCCCTGAAGGGCGGCGTTGCCCCTTGGGGAGCTCTGAGCAGAGGGCTGAACAAGGTGGTGTCCAGCACTGTGGCGGACGGGGCACAGACACACGCACATGCCACCACGCTGGCAGGAGTCCTCAGCCGCTGGGGCGCAGGTGAGCTCACGTCGGTGGGTAAGAGAAACTGCGACCAGAAACGGCTGAGAAGCTGAGAAGCTCACCTGCGTTAGACTTATACAATGTTACAAGCGGACATGGAGTGTAAGATGCGACGAAGGTCAGTATGTTTGGGGCACTTTAGGTTGGACTGCAGCGGGGGGTGGGGAGGCTACACTTACCCACATATCTCCCGCCTGGCTTGATGACGATGGCTCCGCGGCTCCGGGTCTCCTCCTCCACCTGAGCCATGCTCTGCCGCGCCTTTTGGTACGAGTCATCGGTGGCACACACAGTGATCTTGTCCTGGATGCAGCCTAAGCAGTCCAGCTGGATCCTGCCATCGCTGGGAGCACAGGGGGACAGGGAGGGGGGGGGGGGGCGTCGATAATTAGAGACGCCCGGAGGGGGTCATAGGTACTGCAGGGGAAAACACCCGAAGCCGTAGGTGCTATACAAGCCAAATTCTTCAAAATAATCTGTACGAAGTGCTGCCTAAAGTTATAACTTTGAATAGTGTAGAGAAATAGACACGGGATTCAGTTACTTCCAAGTCAACACATGGACGTTTGACCGGATTCAGTTAACTAGATTGGGCCTGCCTTGCATTTGATGGCTGGGGAGGGAAGGTCCCCTCACAGAGTTCACAGAAAGACTCGTTGTCAGACAGCGTTGAAAATTTTCTCCGCTCCTGAGAGAAAGACTCGTGGTAGTGTGGATGGGAGGCTACATCGGAAGAACATTTTTGTGCAATGTATTAGTGCGGACTTAGGCTAAGGCTGTGAAAATTAGTTTTATTTTTTTTCACGCCTGCATCAGTGAGCTCCAATTGTCCTTAGCCAGTGACCCTTTCCTGATTAGTTCTCTTCAATGTCTCTTTTCTCGATTGGTTAAAGAATGTTTTCCCCTTTGTTTTCGCGGAAGCAAGCGTGTGAACATGGAATACAACACAGGACTTTCACTACCGGGCAAATGTCCTTTTGCTTATTTGTATGCAGCTAAATCACATTTTGTGTACATTGTACGCTGATTACAAGCAAAGAAAAGAAAGAAAATACCGATCACTGCTTACTGCGGATAAATTAGAGTAAGACAAGAGTACTGATACTGAGGGGAGAGACGTGTAGTAACTAAGTTTCTGGATTCATGTTGTGTTTTACTGATAACTGTTGTTGCTGTGATTTTGATAACCTACATGGTTCCTTTTCATGTACAACTTTGTGTTTGTGCCACTTCTTGAATTATAAAGAGATTTTGGGGGGAAAAAAACATGCAGAAGACACATTGTGCTTGAGCTGCAACAAATAAAATATAAAGCTGAAGACTGCATCCCCAGTGTAGCCTAATAGGGTTATAAGCTACATCACATTCATCTGCCACACGCCGCAGCGTGGACGCAAAAGTTTTTCAAGGGTAGTGATAACGGTGGTGTGGATGCAGATCTTTTCCTTCGGAAACCCCTGTACACAATTTTTAAACGCATTAGTGTGGATGTGGCCTAAATGTAAGCTTTCTTGGGTAGGGATTAAGGTCGTCACAGTTGGGACTTGGGTTATGCCCATAGAAATGATGCATCCCCACAAAGATACCTTGTGTGTGTGTGTGTGTGTGTGTGTGTGTGTGTGTGTGTGTGTGTGTGTGTGTGTCCACTCACCTGGTGATGTACTGCTGGATGCAGTCAAAGCTACCCTGTGGGTTGTCCCTGCCCACATGGGACAGGTAGAAGGTAAACGTCTGCAGCTCATCGAGGCTCTCTGGTCGCGGTATAGAGATTTTCTGTTGTGGTACAGGATGGAGGGGGAGGTGATATTCGCCACATGAAAGGGGAACATTCCTCAAAAGTTCAGTGCTATTGATCACTTGAAAATTGTCCTATGCTGATCCTTAAAGCTTCAAATCAGACCCCCTTTTAGGGGATCCTACCACTCAAGTAAGCAAAACCTATAGATCAAAATGTAATGCAATATTTGGTGCAGAATGGCATAGCTATCGTGTCCTTAGGAAAATGTCCCATCTCATAAGTCCGCAGTACGGTCTGTTATATCCGACCACAAAGTGGTGCCACGTGCAGAACAGAGGCCTGAGCATCAGAAAGCCCCACTGGTATTCCAATAAAGGGATGACCTTCAGTTCCAATTATACAGTAAAGCCTTACAGAGGACTTTAACGTGTTAGGGACAGGTGACATACCAGGCTGTACCGTCAAGCTGCAGCTCAGACACCTGCCCACCTCCCAATGCCAGTCAAAGCCAATGTGGCACCCTAGGCTAGCTTTTCCCCACCGATCCCCCCCCCCCCCCCCGCCAGCTCATTTCAGTTTTATCTGGATGCTGCTCTACGTTCTCTATCAGTGTTCCCCACTACAGTCCTCGGGGACCCACAGTTCATGTTTTTGCTCCCTCCCAGCTCCCGGCAGCAAAAATGTGGACTGTCAGGCAGGGTGATCGGAGAGAGTTAAAACATGGACTGACTGTAGGTCCCCAAGAACCGGATTGGAAAGTATTGTTCTATGTGATCCTTGTACTCAGGGAGGGGGGTCAGAGTTGGCAGAAAATAGGCCACCTATGTTGTATAATGGGTTGGCCGGCAGTCACCCCCATTGCCTTCTTACATAATAAACTAAGTCAATGCATAGTTGTCCATTGGCTGATTTATTAACTAGAGAACTTAATCATGTGGTACTTTGATTACGGCAGCGGCATTACTAGTTTTATACCCATCCTCTTAGCGGGAAGAAATCAGTGACCTTCTTTGAAATTGCAGGTTGGTTGCTTAGAAACTGATGTAAGAGGTGAGTCTGATTCATGAATTATTCATGAGCTGCCCATGGCCATCTTACGCAAGGGAGAATATACACCGTCTACAGCACACAGACAGCGTGTCAACTATTAAAACTCGTGGCCTTCAAGCATGTTAGCGGCCCAAATGGCCAACGCACAATCATTTGTAGTGAGGCGAATTTGATTTAAGATTTGACAGCACATGCATCTGAAAATTTTCCGGTAGCCATGTCAGCTAAGAACCCGACCACTCGTTCATGCTTCATCCCAGCGGCAGCCCTAGGAAGCTGTCGCTTTACTTCCTGAGTGTTTCATATTTCACGTCAGCACAAACACGTGCACACCAGGCAAACTCAAAATGGATACAGGACGCAGCTCGACGCTGATGCATAAAAATGTTTGAGGGGGGATGGGGATGGTTTGAAACAGCAGGACGAGATGCCGATTTCTCCTCTAGTTTGATTCCCTTTCAAGATCAGTTCACATTCAGAAGATAGTGACAGCCCTAGTTTGTCTATCATTTATATCAATAATTGAGTAATCTATAGATAACTGGACAATTCATAAAGTAATCATTTATACACACACACACACACACACACACACACACAATATCCACATACATACACATAAAATATTATAAATTATATTATATACAAGTGATTTGTCGGCACTGCTTTGTGTCAGTCGGCACGACTCGCATCAACACCACCAGCTTATTTGGCTCTGACGCTAACTGCAATGTGAGCTTATTTCCTTAAATTGACCAGCCCCACTCAAAAACATAATATGCTCACAAAAAATAATTCATGTTATATGGTTATTTTGTAACATATTATGCAAGGTGATGCAGCTAAGCGATGGTGCTAACCTTTGTTTTAGCAGAGATTATTTTGACATACAGGAAATAAAATTAAGCAAAATTTACGTGATGAGAAATATAGACGAGGATATTCAGAGTCTAAATGGCACATATCTGTGGCTAACCATTGCTGGGTGAGTCAGCCAAAACTTGAATGACTTCTTTTAAGGTGTATTTGCATTGCAGAAATCGTATAGCAGTCATGCTGTGCTGATATTTAAGTTCTGCTTTGCAATGCTGACAGACGACTGCATTTTCATCCACTTTTAATGAGAAGTGTTTCCGCACAATTGAGGCTTTTGCTCTTTATTCCGCAACGCAGTCTTCCTTCCGCCTTTGTTCCGACTAATCGAGATTTTTCTTTTCTTCTTTTTTTTTTTTTTTAATGAGAAATAAAGTTTAAAATTGAGTATTCGTGACAGCTCTAACACAAATTAATCCACACTCGTTGACAGTTAATGCAACTCCTGGCCCGAGCATAATTTTACTGCTACGAATCATCATTAAGTAACCAATTCAAAAATGTAGAAGCTGAAGTCTTGTCTAATACAAAGTGAGTGTGACAAAGGCAGGCGTGAGCACCAACAGAGAGCAGAGGAGAGGGTGCTGCACGTTTCATACCTAAAGGCAGAGCCCGGACAGAAGCCCCTTGGTCTTCAGCTGCTATCCCCACATCTCCCCTAGCCCCTTGGACCCTAGCCCCTTCTGTGCAGCTAGTGGAAGACAAAGCCCCTTTTCACAGCAGGCACTTGCCATCCCCCCC